GTACAGAAACCTAATCTTACTCACCAGAGATGCAGGTGAAGTGTTTTGGGATTGCGGTTTTCTGCTTTCGTTTTTTAACAAGTTCTTCCTATGTGGACCATGCTGGCCTTGAACGCACAGTAATCCTCCTAAGTCAGCCTCCCAAGTGCTGAGTTCACAGGTGTGTGCCACCATATCCAGATGCAGCAGGATTCTTAGAGCTCCCGGTGGCTACAGGTGGCCCTTTGCTTGTGGCAGCACAATTTCCATCTCCATCCCATCCCAGGGGATTGAACTCAGGCCCTTGCGCTTGCCAGGCAAGTGCTTATTCTATTGAGCCATCTCTCTGGCCCCTATAATCACTATGAAGACAATATGCAATGTATTAATTATTGAAACAGTCCTACTAATCGTTTTCTTTTTTTTTTTTTCCTGCGGAGCTGGGGATTGAATTCAGACCCTTGTGCTTGCCAGGCAAGCGCTTATTCAACTGAGCCATCTCCCCAGCCCCTATTTTCTTGCTCTTATAAGGATGCCAGTCACATTCCATCAGGGCCCATCCAAGGACCTGGTCTTAATTTCATTACAGCTGCAAAAACTGAGCAATAAATAAGGACACATTTCCAGGTACTAGGGGTTAGATATGGATAGTTGAGGTGTGATTGAAAACTATGGTGAGGGGCTGGTGAGATGGCTCAGTGGTCTAAAGCACCTACTTAGAACAAGCTTAGCAAAGCCCAGGGACCGCGGTTCAATCCCCAGCACCACATGCCAGCCAGCCCCGCCCCCTGGTGGGCTGAGCTGGCCACACACACACACACACACACAAATAAAATATTAAAAAAAATAAAGAAAGAAAGAAAACTAAAAAAAAAAAAAAAAAAGAAAACTATGGTGAATGTTGAATTTTTTTTTTTTTTTTCTCCGAATGCCTTCAGGGCAGGTTTGGCTGGCTTGAGTTGTGGGGATCGAACCACAGCAACCTGAGCCTGACAGCTTTGTTGAAGCAGCCGCTTAAAGAGCTGAGCTACGGGGCAGGCCCCCAAATGTTGAGATTTTTTAAAAAATAATTATTATATAAAAGCCACATTGCCAGACTGGGTGTGGTGGCGCACACCTGTAATCCCAGCTCTTGGAAGGCTGGAAAAGGGCAGATCACTATGAGTCTGATCTAGTAGTGAGACCCTGAACACCCTGTAGACCCTTTGCTGAAATACAAAAAAAAAAAAAAAAGAAAAAAGAAAAAAAAGAAAAGAAAAAAAAAAGCCACATTGCAAACCACTCTCAAATCCTCCCTCTTACTGGTCACACACCTATCAAATTGTTCTTGCCACCTTCTGGAGCAGGTGTGGAAATCCTATTTCCTGAGTGCCTTCTGTGGTACTGTTGTACCTGTCTTGTTCTGAATAGATTCCAAACTTGCTTTTTTTTTTTTTTTTTTTTCCTTTGCGGTACCGGGGATTGAACTCAGGACCTTGCACTTACCAGGCAAGCACTTATTCTACTGAGCTATCTCCCCGGCTGGCCCCTAAACTTACTTTTGATGATCGTTTTGACTTCAGGGAAGAGTCAGAAGTTGTACAGTGCTAGATCTGGTGAATAAGGTAGATGTGGACACAGTTGTGATTTTTTGTTTGCTTGTTTATTTATTTTTTGTACTGAGTGTCGAACTCAGGACCTTGCACTTCCCAGGCAGGTGTTTATGCTGCTGAGCTGTCTCTCCGGCCCCATAGTTGTGTTTTTATGCAGTGTCTTTCCATTGGATGGCACTTGGCAGCAGCAGTCACTGTGGTTTTGATCATACCTTGTAAAGACACTCATGAAAGAGGCTCCAGAGCTGCTGCAGAAAGGCCAGGGCCAGCCGTGGTAGAGCACCTCTAATCCCGGCACGAAGGAGTGAGAACTACTGGGAACTGGTCAGGCTCTGGATCTTAGAAACAAGCTCAGGGAACATGATTAAATAAAGACAAAATATGGTCTGAGGAATCCAGGAAGGTTAGAATTCTTCTGGAGCTAAGACTGAGGTTTCTCAGGACAGCCAATGTTTATTGGATTTCAGACAAATTTGTGGAGTATGAAGGAGAGTAAAAGGAAAAAAAACCACCTTTTTTTTTTTTTTTTTGAGACAGGGTCTCACAGTGTAGTTCAGGCTGGCCTTGAACTGCTGTGTAGCCCAGGCTGACTTCAACCTCACCTCAGTCCTGTGGCTTCAGCCTCCTGAGTGCCGGGATGACAGGTCCGCATCACCATGCTCAACTTACTGTGATACATTTTTAAAATGTAAGGGTACACGGTACCTTTTCATCATTCCTTGTACCTTTCCGAAGGACAGAGCCCTGGTAGTGAGTTTGCATTTACCAAGGTCATGTCCTGGCTCCCAGGGGAGAGTGTGACTGGTCAGGTGCCTCCGACAGCCTCCACAGCAGGCTGTTAGAAGGCTAGAAAGCCCCTTGCACTTTCTCCCTTGCTTTATCTAAAAATTCTCTCTATCCCTGGAACTAACTCAGCATTCCCCCCCCCCTTTCCATGACATGCAAACTTTAACTTTTTTTTTTTTTTTATCCAAATTTCACTTTTGGGAATATGGGGCCCTCTCCCAACATTTTTTTTTTGCTTTTATTTTTAAATTTTGTTTAATTTTTTTGCTCTTATTTTTTGGAGACGGGGTCTCACTGTGTAGTTCAGGCTGCCTTGAACACGTCAGTCCTTCTGCCTCAGCCTCCCAAATGCTGAGATCCAGGTTCACACCACTGCATCTGGCTCTGAACTGTTTTGTTTTTTTTTTAATCATTTATTTATTTATTTATTTATTTATTCATTTGGTACAGGGTCTCGCTACGCAGCTTGGACTTAGAGTGATCCTCCTGTCTCAGGCTTCCCAATGCTGGGATTACAGGTGTGCGCCACCACACTTGGTTTCAGTGGCTGGTACTGTTCCCGGGATTCTGGGGCCAGCACAGCATGCAGTCCTGGGGATCGAACCTGGGTCCTTGCACTTGCCAGGCAGGCACTTAGGCCACTGAGCTATCTCTGCAGCCCTGGCTCTGAACTTTTAAAATTTGTATTTCTTCAGTACACGGTTTGCAGTACATAATGATTACATCTCTCCTGGGGAGTTGGTGCGTGGCTGAAACTCCCTCTTCTACCTCCACACAGGGCCTTTTGGCCTCACATTTGGTAAAAAGAATTGAAAAGAAAATTCCCAGACTTCAGGCATGTTTTTGCCCCTGAAAGCTCCATTCAGAGCCAGTCATGGTAGCACATAACTATAATTCCAGCTACTCCAGAGGGCAAGAGGAAGGTTTCTGGTTCAAGGCCAGCCTCGGTGATTTAGAAAGATCTTGTCTCAAAATAAAAAGGGCCAAGGCCCGGGCTCCGTGCCTGGGTTCCATCCCCAGGACTGCCACAGAGTAACAACAGTAGCGAAGTCCTCAGGACTGGCTCTTTGGTTCCTGTGGTATTGAGGGGAGTGATATGGGTTAAGAAAGGAGCCGAGATAGTTTGTCATGAGACATTGTTGGAGTGCTAGGCACTTTCCCGTCACTAGGACAAAATACCCAATGCCTACAATTTACAGGAAAGAGAGGTTTCTTTTGGTTGAGTGTTTCAGTCTATAGTCAGCCGGTTCCAAGGCCACACCTGGGGACCCATCTCTAACCAGGACCCACCTCTGAACAGTGAGGTCTGAGGAAGCATTCCAGGCCTACCCAACAACCCAGGAGGTTGGTTGGAGCGTGGGGGCAGGCAGCTCAGTGGTGGAGTCACCCATGAGTGTGTTCAGCAGCTGTGTACCCTCACAGGAAGTGCTTGTGTCCCTTCCTGGCTCTTCTCTTGACTGCTGCCTGGCCACTGGGATGTGCACAGCTCTCCTCAGCTCAGGTCCCTGCACCAGGCCATTCTGCCTTGGAGCCAGCAGACTATGACTATATGGGGCAAAATACACCTCTCCTTCCTGAATTTGTAGTTGTCGGGCATTGTGTCCTAGGGATGGAACAGTAACTCAGCAGGGTGTGGTGGCAGATGTCTGTAACCCCAGCACTCAGGAGGCTGAGGCAAGCGTATTACCTCAAGTCCAAGGCCAGCCTGGGCTACATAATGAGTTCAAAGCTAGACTGAACTACATAGCAAGACTCTGTCTCAAAAACAAAACAAACAAAAAGTAATTCACATAATATTTATATACAGGGCTGGTGAGATGGCTCAGTGGTCTAAAGCACCTACTTAGAACAAGCTTAGCAAAGCACAGGGACTGCGGTTCAATTCCCCAGCACCACATGCCAGCCAGCCGTACCCCCTGGTGGGCTGAGCTGGCCACACACACACACACACACACACACACACACATAAATAAATAAAATTTTTTTTAATTTATTTATTTATTTATTTATTTATTTATTTATTTATTTATTGTGTGGCCAGCTCAGCCCACCAGGGGGCGGGCGGGCCGGCATGTGGTGCTGGGGGATCGAACCGAGGTCTCTGTGCTTTGCTTGAGCTTAGCTTGTTCTAAGTAGGTGCTTTAGACCACCGAGCCATCTCACCAGCCCAATAAATAAAATTTTTAAAAAAATATTTATATACAAATGTTGGGTTCAGATATATACTATTTCTTTGGCATCCCTGATAAAGTCTCAACCCTTTCTTTTTTTTTTTTTTTTAATTTTTCTTCTTCTTCCTCTTCATTTTTTTTTGGCGGGGGGTGGTACCAGGGATTGAACTCTGGACCTTGGCTTGCCAGGCAAGCACTTATGCCACTGAGCTATCTCTCCCCAGCCCAATCTGAACCCTTTCAATCAAGAGAAATATGCCTGAAGATGGTCCCAGTAACAATGTAGAGATGTATTTAGTGCCTCAGCTATTAGATCCATGAGGACATACATATACGCAGAAGTCTCATGACTGAGTCAGAAATTGGCTATTGGGAGACCCCAAGATCCTATTTGAACTGAGTGTCATTCAAGTATGGTGGCCTGTGAGGTCAAACTCAAAACTTCCTCCTGCACGTATGTTGGCTGTTTTAGGACTCGGTGGTCATCGAGGATGTGGTTGTGCGCTTCACCCAGGAGGAGTGGGCTTTGCTGGATTCTGCACAGAGGGATCTCTACCGAGATGTGATGCTGGAGACCTTCTGGAACCTGGCCTCCATTGGTGAGGATGATGTCCTTTCTTCACTTGGTCATTTAGACAGCAAGTACCTTAAATACACTTAGCTTCTTCTGAGACATAGAATGGAGAAAGGGGATAGCTGGATAAATAAGCCAGACCTGGTCACAGTAGCCATGCAGCTAGAATCCAAGAGTTTTCTCATGACGATGAAAATCTATTACACTGAATTTTTTTTTGCTGCAAAGCAAACACCCTTGGTGATATCACTCACTGAACTTTTTTTTTGGTGGAACTGGGGGTTGAACTCAGGCCCTTGCGCTTGCCAGGCAAGCGCTTATTTCTACTGAGCCATCTCCCCGGCCCTCGCTGAACTTTTGTAGCCCAGTGAGAGTTGAAGGTGCTAATGAAACTGCTTCCCACTTTGAGCCCTTCTGTTTTATCAGGTCCTGAAATGGTGAAACTTCTGTATCCTTTTCCATATTTATTTTTTACCAACAGGTAACACCCTCTCTCGCTCTCACTGTCTTACTCTCGCTCGCTCTCTCTCTCACCGGGGATCGAACTCTGGATCTTGCCCTTGCCAGGCAGGCACTAATGCTGCTGAGCTATCTCCTTGGCCCCACTGCCCAATTCTTTCTCTTAAAATATGTTCACTTTTTGATTTCAGATGATGAATATCAATTTAAAGCCAGTGATTCAGTTTCTGAGCAGAATATTTGTGGAGGAAATATATCTAAGAAACTAGAAATGGCAAAGTTTATGAAAAATGATTCTTGGGCCTCTGCTCTTGGAAACATTTGGGAAGACTTTACTTTTGAAGATCAGCATCCAAGCCAGGGGGGACATCTGAGGTAAGTCACACTCAGCAAGAGAAAGCAGAATTCTAGGAGGGATGCTTAGAATAGCATGAAATCAAAATAGCCAGCAAACCAAATAATCCCAGCTGTGAATTTCCATTATTTTTTAAAGTGGTACTAATGATTGAATCCTGGAGTTCCACATACTAGATAACTGTTCTACCACTGAGCCAGAACCGGGGATTGAACTCAGGTCCTCATACTTACCAGGCAAGCACTTACTCTACTGAGCTATCTCCTTGGCCAATAACCCACCTTTATAAAATTTTGAGTCAGTCTCAGCAGGTTGTCTAGGTTGGCCTTGAACTTGGAATTCCCCCACCTCAGCCTCCCAAGTAGCTTGTTGGTGTGTGTGTGTGTCTTTGACTCTAGCCAGAGTTGGGAACAACCCCTTCCAGCCATGCAGGCCCTTTGGTACCAAGTCACTTTTGTCTGAACACATACTTAAGAAACTAACAAACTGGGTACAATATAGCATTTTCTCTCTCACCTGCTGAAGACTCCATCTCATATAAGATCCTTCATCTTTTTTTTTTTTTTTTTAATGTATTTGGTACAGGGTCTCACTACAGGGGAGAAAACCTGCCCTTTTATTGAAAATGATGGGGCCAGGGAGATGGCTCAGTAGAATAAGTGCTTGCCTGGCAAGTGCAAGGACCTGAGTACAATCCCCGGTTCCATAAAAAAAAAGATTAAAAAGTAATTTTAATAGCTATGAATTTTAATAATTATTAATAAATTCTTTTTAATCAAACCATTAATTACATGTACCTCATTTTTAATAGAAATCAGTTGGTGGAGAAATTCTGTGGAAGTAATGACCAGTGCAGAGAAACCTTCAGCCAAATGCCAAATCTTAACCTGCATAAGAAAATCCCTGCTGGGCCAAAACAGTATACAGCAACAAGCCCACAGCATGTGTCTCTCGAGGACCACATTGCAGTTCACACTGAACACAAGCTGTACCAGTGTCAGGAATGCGGACAGGCCTGTAGTTGTCATTCACAGTTGAGAGCACACTTGACAGCCCACAGCAGAGAGAACCCTCATGCATGTGAATTATGTGAGAAAACCTTCCCTCAGACTTCTTCCCTTAATCAGCATACAAGGGCTCACACAGCAGAGAAAAACTACGGATGCCAGCACTGTGGGAAAGCCTTCGTTGACTTGTCAAGTCTCAGCAGCCACATGAGAAGTCACACCGGAGAGAAGCCGTACAAGTGCCCAGAGTGTGGGAAAGCCTTCAGCTATTCCTCGACGTTCCGTAGACACGTGATTATACACACTGGGGAGAAGCCATACAAGTGTAAAGAGTGTGGCTCTGCCTTCAGCTATTCTGCCACGTTTCGCAGACACATGATCTCACACACAGGAGAGAAGCTACACAAATGCAAGGAATGTGGGGAGGCCTTTAGTTACTCTTCAGCATTTCGAAGGCACGTGATCACACATACCGGAGAGAAACTACATGAGTGCAAACAGTGTGGGAAGACCTTCATTCATCTTCAGTCCTTTCGAAGGCATGAGAGGATCCACACTGGAGAGAAGCCATATGAATGCAGAGAGTGTGGGAAAGCCTTCATTTATTTCCAATCCTTTCAGCGACATGAAAGAATTCATGGTGGAGAGAAGCCCTACGAATGTAGCCAATGTGGGAAAACCTTCAGTCATCCCTCATCTTTCCGAGGTCACGTGAGAGTACACACTGGGGAGAAACCTTATGAGTGTAAACAGTGTGGGAAGACATTTAATTGGCCCACGTCCCTACGGAAACACATGAGCATTCACACCAGAGAGAAACCTTATGAGTGCATCCAGTGTGGGAAAGCCTTCAGTTTGTCGGCTTGCTTTCGAGACCATGTCAGAATGCACCCTAACGACCAATCCTATCAGTGCAAACTGTGTGGGGAAGCTTTCTTTTGCCACATATACTTACAAAAGCATATAAGAAGACACACTGCAGAAAAACTCTACAAATGTAAGGAATGTGGGAAAGCCTTCAGTTGGCCTAAACTTTTACAGCAACATGTAAGAACTCATACTGTGGAAAAACCCTATGAATGCAAGGAATGCGGGAAGGTCTTCAAATGGCCGTCATCTTTGCCAGTACACATGAGACTGCACACTGGGGAGAAACCCTATCTGTGTAAGCAGTGTGGGAAAGCCTTCAATCGCTCCTCATCACTGAGGAGACATATGAGGATACACCCTGCAGAAAAGCAATATACATATGATGCAAGAAATCCTCCTAAAAGTGAATTCGTGTACACTGTTCCATAAAACACACCCCAGGATAGCAACCGTACAAAAGTTGCAAATCTAGCCTTTCCTTAGTGAGTACCTCAGCCTCATGTAGACACAGAAGATTATATAATACAGTTTCATTTACAAATAAACATTTAAGTAAAAAATAGTTCTCCACAGCTGAATATGATAATACATGCACATAATCCCAGTACTTGAGAAGCTGGGGTAGGAGATCATAAATTAAAGGCCAGTCTGGGCTACATAGTGAGTTTAACACATTCCTTCTAAGTCAGACCATTGGTGGCATATGCATGACTTCCATTGGGTGGCTTATACCACTGAATGGGTCTGTCCCATGCTGCCTGATGGAACAATTAGGCATATACTCCTGGTTTAGAACTGCCTGGCAGCTGGGCATACATATTATAGTCCTGTCTCAAATGTGACAAGGCCAGCCTGTACTACACACCGATACCTATCTCAACCAAATAGGGGCCTGCCCATTAGCCCAGTTGTTTAAGTGCCTGCTTAAGCAAAGACAGGCTCAGGATATTGTGGTTCAATCTCCAGATCCTCATGCCTTTCCAGACCTGCCCTTAAGGCATCCTGAGACAGAAAAAAAAAAAAAAAAATCCTTTCAAATAACCAAGTAATGATGAACTCAAAGTGTGCTTTTCCTTACAATTCAATAAGTGACACTGACCTTTATAGTTTATTGAACTTGTGGATGATTTGAAGTATATATTTTTTTCTCTTTTACTCATTTATTTGGTACAGGGTCTTGCTACACAGCTTGGACTTGTAATGATCCTCCTGTCTCAGCCTCCCCAGTGCTTACCATGCTTGGTTTGGGCAGCTGGCACAGCATGTGGCACTGGGGATCAAATGGGTCCTTATGCTTGCCAAGCAGGCATTTGCCAGACAGGCACTTAGATCATTTAGCTTTCCAGCTTCCTGAACTGCATTTTTTATTATGCAAGTAGAGTTAATTTTTATTATCTTGAATTATTGTCCTGCTAAGGTGTTCGTGGGTTGTTTAGTGTGTATTTTTATTTTTTATTTCTTTTTTGGCCAGCTCACCCCACCCTGAGTGCAGGACTGGTGCAGCATGTGGTGCTGGAAATTGAACCCTGGCCCCTTGCACCTGCCTAAGGTTGCCTATGCATGTGCTTTAGACCACTGAGCCATCTCAGCAGCCCCTAGAGTGTATTTTTAGAAGTATAGGACTATGGATATAGCTCAGTGTTTGGCAAGCACAAACACCTGAGTTCATTTCTCAGTACCAAAAAAATGTGTATTTTAATATGCAAAATGTGTATAATTTCTATTTCTTTTAAATTGTTCTCTAGGGTGTTATTTGAGCAGTAGCATTGAGTTACTTTGGGATTAGGAATTTTTTGTTATTCATTTACTATATTAGATTTTGGGTATCATTTACCTATTTTCATGCTTTCTTACTGAGAGTTTTTAAAGAGGGACTGGAGAGGGCATATTACATTTTTTCCCCCTAATATACATCTGGGGAGCCGTGGAGATAGCTCAGTGGTCTAAGCACCTGCCTAGGCAAGCACAAGGACCCAGGTTCGATCCCAGGTAGCACATGCCATGCTGGCCGTGCCCCAGGTGGGCAGAGCCAGCCTCCAAGACCGGGCATGGTGACACATGCCTGTAATCCCATCACTGGGAGGCTGAAACAGGAGGATCACTATGAGCTGCATAGTGAGACCCTATACCAACTACATAAAATTAAAAAATTTAAAAATAATAGCTGGCAGAAATTTGTATTTATGCAAAATTCTTCAAGGACTAGAGTGTCATATGAATTACTATTTTTACATTTGCCCTCTGCTGTTTGCTGTTGCCTGTGATGATAGGTGGTCAACAGGTTTTGACTTAAGTGACAGTATGATACAATAATTCAATCTAGAACTGGAGGTGATTCTAGATTTTGCTACGTCAACACATAGCAACACGTGGGTGTTTGTTTGCTTATTTTTAAGACAGGGTCTCGGCAGGTCTTGCACTCACAATGTAGCCTGGGTGGATGTCAAAACTTGCAGTGACCCTCCTGCTTCAGCCTCCTAGTGCTTGGATTACCGATGTGCACCACCACACACAGCAACATGGATGTTATAGCAGCTGAATTTGCAAGAACTCTTCCCCTTTATGGTTTCATGTTAGAATTTACAGGTAGCCTAAGTGGCATGAAACTGAAGGAAAAGTGAAGGAGCTCATTCCTGAACTTTAGCACTCGGTCAGTGGAGATGGACAACGTACAGGGGCCTTGGAGATACCAGCCTTTGGCTTGTCTCCTGGATGCTTTGCCAGCATCATCAAAACAAAGGCCAACTGCTTATGGTCTCTGCTAGCGTGTAGGTCTCCCAGGCGTCCCTGCGGGCCTGGTGTCAAGGGTGCACCTGTGTGGCCTGGGACTCAGAATTTGCAGTCCCACGTGGCTCCCAGGATGCAAGCTCTGCAACCTTTAATGTACTGATTTTTCTACTTGATAAGTATGCGTGGGTGAGGCCTGATTTCTGTAGTGAACCCCTCGTTGATGCTTCTAATGTCGTGATAGTGAAACTTTTAAGATGAGTTTCCAAACAGTTGCCAACATAGCAATTAAACTGAGGTTTTAGTCTTAAAAAAAAAAAAAAACCTCAAGGGGCTGGTGAGATGGCTCAGTGGTCTAAAGCACCTACTTGGAACAAGCTTGGCGAAGCACAGGGACCGCGGTTCCATCCCCCAGCACCACATGCCAGCCACCCCGCCCCCTGGTGGGCTGAGCTGGACACACACACATAAATGGATAGATGGATAAATAAATTTTAAAAATAAAACCCTCGAACACCTTGTGACACCATCACACAGGACTCTGCCACTGCACGTTCACCCTCAAGATCCTAGTAGCTCTGGGCCTGATTCCACCAGAGAAACTACAGTGTGATAGCCAGACAAGAAATTGACATGTGGGTTTTGTTTCTATTTTTCCCCCAGTACTGGGATTGAGTTGAGGACTTCTTGCTGTACCGTATCCCCAGTCAAACTGTATAGTTTGAGATAGGTCCTCACCAAGATGCCCAGGATGGGTGGGACTTGGGTCTTCCTGGTTCATCATCCTGAGTAACTGAGAGCCTGGGTGTCACATTTTGTTTTCATCATGCTGGGATTAAACCCGGGCAGTCACACTGGCCTTCATCCTCAGCTTTTTATTTTTTTGGGAGAGAGTCTTCCTAAGTCACTAAGATACTCAGGCTAGGCTCAAACTTGAGATCCTCCTGCCTCAACCTCCCAAGTACTAGGAATATAGGCATATGCCACCATGGCCAAATTTATTGCTTTCTTAAGTGTGCTGGCCCTGTCTTTTATGGGAAAACAACTCCCATATTAGATTGTGGAAAATACCAGTTATTCAGAGCTGATTTTTTTTTTTTTTCAGTACCAGGGATCGAACTCAGGACCTTGCATTTGGCAGGCAGGCACTGTGCCACTGAGCAATATCCCCAGCCCCTTATATGTATTTTGTTTTTTCAGACAGGCTCTCACTATGTAATTCAGGTTGTCTTGAGCCTCCTAAGTACTGGGAATGCAGGTATGTACCACCATGACCAGCATTTTGTGCATTTTTATTTTTTAATGTATTTAGTTCAGAGTGTACAGGGTCTCACTACATGGATCGGATGAGATTGGGCACGTTCAGGGTGGTATGGCCATAGACATCACTACACAGATTGGGGACTCCTAGTGATTCTCCTGTTTTCAGTCTCCCAGGCACTGGGATTACAGGCGTGCACCGCCACACCCAGTCTCAATTACAGTCTCAGCATGCCCTGGGGGCGGGCGGGGCCAGCATGCCTTTAGTGCTTTTGTGTGTGTGTATTTTAGGGAAGGGTCTACACGGTGTTCAGGGTCTCACTACTAGATCAGACTCAGTGATCCGCCTGCTTACAGCCTCCCAAGAGCTGGGATTACAGGCGCATGCCAACTCACCAGGTCTCAATTGCCGGCTCAGCGCACCCCAAGGGCAGGGCCAGCACGGCACGCTGGAGATCGAACCCTGCTGCCCTCTGTCGAAGCAGGCGCTTTAGTCCACTGAGCTATCTGGCTGGCCCTGTGCATTTTTTTTTTAAATGTTTAAACGTTTCACTAACAAAGTCATACGAACTTTTGTGCATTTTCAAGTGGACCTATAGCTATTTCTTAGACTATATTATTTATTGGTTTTTTTTCATATTAGCTCTACATGAACTATATTAGTTTTTTAGGATTACTATAATAAAATAAAAAACTGTAGCTTAGAGGAGCAATATTTTTGTCTCAGTTCTGGAGTCCAAATGTCCAAAACCAAGGTGTTAACAGAGTCATAGTCCCTGCTTCTCACGGTCTGAGGCACTTATTAATTATAGGTTTCACCTCCATTTTACAACTTTGTCCTTGTAAGCACTGTCCATTCCAAATAAACACTACCAGGTGTATTCAAGTATCTTTCTTTCATGAAAAAAGGGTTTTTTGCGCTTATATGCTCACATTTGCCACGGCAATGATTTCTTCATTATGAATAACTTCTTACACTCTTCTATTACTTATGGCATTAATAAGATAAATTTTAGGGCTTTCAGCTGTTGATAGTCATTCAAACATGGCAACATTTGTATTAAGATTATATTCTGTTCAATCCTCAGTTCCGCAAAAAAAAAAAAAAAAAAAAAAAAGATTATGTTCTAGAAACATGAAAACTCGGACTCTTTAAGATTACCTTCTTGGGCTGGTGAGATGGCTCAGTGGTCTAAAGCACCTACTTAGAACAAGCTTAGCAAAGTGCAGGGACCACGGTTCAATCCCCCAGCACCACATGCCAGCCAGCCCCGCCCCCTGGTGGGCTGAGCTGGCCACACACACACACACACACACACACATAAATAAATTTTTAAAAAAATGTCAGGTCTCCTTGAGTTGAATCTGAATTTGAGAGAATTTTATTTTATTTTTTCACTGAGAAAAAAGGTATATAGTTAGAATTAGCCAGCTGGACTCAATGTAGATGATCCCAATTTTGTTGGTCATATCCGATGCATCCTAATCAGGAGCCAGTTGAATATATATATGCCTTCTTCTCTCCATCAGGCCTGATTAGAGTATTGACCTTGGCAACATCGATGTCATACAGCTTCTTTACAGCTTGTTTGATTTGGTGTTTATTGGCTTTGACATCCACAATGAACACGAGTGTGCTGTTGTCCTCGATCTTTTTCATGGCTGACTCTGTGGTCAGGGGAAGTCTGATGGATGATAACAGAGCGGTCAGGCTTGTTTCTCCTGGGGCGCTCTTCTGAGAGTATTTGGGCTGCCTCTGGAGCCTCAGTATCTCGGGATAGCAGAAGGTGGGCGACATTTGTATCTTCTTTTTGTGGCTGTGGATGCCTTTTGGCACTGCCTTCTTGGCCTTCAAAGCTATTGCTTTGGCTTCAGCTTTAGGAGGGCAAGGAGCTTCCTTCTTCGC